ATCTCTGCCATTCTGCAGATCATGCCTGACACACAGCAGGAATTCGCTAGACGTCTACTGAATGCCAGTGTGAGGTGGTCACACTGAACATGAGGGGTGACAGGATAGCTCCCCAAAATTGCTATCCAATATTACTTTATCTAAGAAATCCAATGGTGCATCCTCCATGCACTCTTGTCTGGGTTCCTGCTTGTAGAAAATCACTTTCTGTTTCACTCACGTATCCAGTCTTGTATCAGTGTTTCTTAGGGTTGCAAACATCTTTCCTGATGGTGTGCTCTCCAAGGGCACAGTTCTTGCTTCTGTCAGGCCTAAACCACCCCTTACAACCAGCTATTTACTAAATGGCACATAGTAGGCTGTGTCCATCTGAAAGTTCCAATTTTTAATACATATGTTTTGTGCTGGTCTCCAAAGAGGTAAAGCTGACTGCCTTGCAGGGTGTTGGTGACATTGGGAGGAAACTAGTTCGTGAACAATTACTGTGAATCTGCCTTGTACATGGCCCTGAACCAGGGGCTAGAAGCTCAAGGGGCCTCTGTCTAGGAAGATAAGAACTCAAGCCACTACAATAACTGGGTGCTACCTGCAAGGATCTTGCACCCACAAAGGACTGTGGGAACACAAAGAAGTTGCTTCATCTAGCAAGTTATAAAGATAAGCAAAAGGGCTTCCTGAAAATGATGCCTGATCTAATTTTGAAGGCTGAGTAGGCAGGCAGAGGGACGCATGAGAACAAGGGAGGTGAGTCGAGAAATAATATAGTGCTGGGCCCTGAACACTTGCTCTCATTCTTGAGTAAAACATGCATGGAAATGACAAGCAGAAAAATCTGCAGAGGCTCTTGTAGACCAGGGGAAGGAGCTGGAGCTTTGTTATGAAGGCAATGGAATGTCATGGAAGATTTCTCAGCAGAAGAGTCACATGTGCCCCTTCTGAACAGATATTCTTCAGAGAGGAGCAGAAGTGCAGACAAGCAGGGAGATAATTTAGAACGTAACTGTAGACGCCCAGACCAGAGGGCGTGTTAAATAAAGACAGAGGAAGAAGGGATGGGACAGAAGTGGATGGATTTGGAAAAATACCTTAACAGGGCACAGTCAGAAGTGACCGTCAATCTGCCAGAGCCACTGGGGGAACGAGCCCTGACATCCTAGCTGTGTCCCTGTGTGGATATCTAAGGTCAGCAGAAGTACCTCCTAAGTTTTACAAGACCCAGGAAACTTGCAGAATCCATCAACATCCTCAAGGCGAAGCTGAGACTTGAGAGTTAGGTCAAGGTGATGAAGGGTAAACACAACAGCAGCAGCCTCTAAAACAGGGGCTTGGTCCCCTGCCCTGGGCCTGAGACGTTCCCCTGCAGTCTGTGACAATGAAAAACAACAGGGCATAAACCCACGGATGAGCTGTCTCATCGCTCCAGTGACAAAGCAACTGGAATGATGTAGCGCCAGAAGGTCGTTTTCTACATAATGGCTCCCGGAGTCACCGGGAATAGTATATTTACGAAAACTAGTAGCAAAACTTCACTTTTCTTTTTTCCAGGAAAAGAAGTTCCATGGCGAGTAACTGAGCCTGATCTGGGCGTGCGGGCGTGCCGGTGAAAGGTGTAAATCGTTCACACGCAACAACCCGCACCCCTTTCAACCGACGCCTACAGTGACAAATGGCACGAGCTGGGGAACAGGAGGGAAGGGTCACCGGTGTGTGCGGGGGGAGGGGAGCCATCACCATCCTCCCTACTTCTCACCAGGCTCGGAGTGTGGGTCCTTTTTGGGGGTCCCCCAGAGCAGGGCCACTGCCCATCAGGATTGGGCTTAAAGGGCAGTGAGTTGTCCTGGTGATCACCTTGGAGTTGGAGACACACAGGGACCCTGGCCCCAGTTCTGCCACTGCTGCCCCTACAGCCCTGGGAAAAGCCCTTCACCTGCCCTTCCTCTACCTGTTGGGAGTGACATGAAAGTGAAGCACTGAGGAGGGCCATGCTTTACCCTAAGGATCTGTGATGGTCACAGTGGCATGGAGCCAGAGCTTAACCTTCTAAGAATCCTCCCAGTCTCAATACACGGGACCCTGTTTTGCCTGTGAAAGTTCTGAGCATCCGCTGCAAAATACACTAGCAGTGGCCTCAGTGATCTTGCACTCAGCAGGAGCTCCTTGAGGGCAGGACTGTCTGATTTTCCTTTGGATCCCAACATCTGTCACTGAGATCGGGCCCTGCAGGGTTTGGGTGATGTTTATAGAGGATACAGGGCATGAAGCCAGCACCCCGTCTTCTGGGATGGGATAGGAGAAAGCAACTTGGGGTCACAGTGCTTGAGGGCTGAGATGACGCCTCCTCGGAGGTCTGGGAAGGGCCCCAGCAAATGGCTGTGCTCACTGGACTGTCCCCCTGGGCTGGGAGTTGCCCACAAAACAGCAAGTCCCCTTCCCATCAACGTCCAGCTCTGTGCCACAACCAGGGTTTAGTGTTGACAGACAGATACATGCTGAATGGATAAATGAGTGATATAAAAATCAACTTCCTTACTTGTCCCAGTGTAGACTGCTCACAACACCTGAAGGCAAAAGGATGGGTGAGCTGAAGACGGGCTGACAAGTTTCGTGTCCATTTGAGCCTTGCTTGACCACAGAATCACGGGCCAAGAAGCTGTACAGGAGAGCTGAAGAACAGCAGCAAAGCAGAGCCTGACCCATCCTCCCGTAGCAGCTGAAGGGTGCACTATCCTGAAAAGTGACATCTAACCTGACCCTGAGTGTGATCTTGTTTGGGAAAAGTCTTGCAAATAAGGGAAAGATTTCAAGGGGAAAGTAACCAGAATTTGGCACAAACCCTGAGTCCATTACAGGTGTCACTCTGAGGAGAGTGGGCAGAGACACTTGAGACACACATCAGAGGAGACAGAGACCATATAGAGTGTGGAGTGATGTGGCCACAAGCCAAGGAATTCCTGGAACCCCTGGAACACAGAAGGGTGAGGAAGGATTTTCCTCTTGAGCATTCATCGAGAGCACAGCATCTTGACTTTAGACTTTTGACATTCAGAACTGGGCATGAATTTCTGTGGCTATAAGATACCTAGTGATTGGCAACTTCTTACAGAAGTCCTAGGAAACTAAATACCACCCAGCCATGAATGCACCAACATAAAGAGGAAGTATATTTACTAAAACTAATAGCAAAACTTCACTTTTCTTTATTCCAGGAAGAGAAGTTCCATGGTGAGTAATTGAGCCAGATCTGGACATGTGGGTGCGCCAGCTAAAGGTGTACATCATTCACATGCAACAACCCACAGCTCTTTCAACCTGTGACCTACTCATGATAAACTTATCCACACTTTTGGGGTCAGGACACAGGGTGAGATTTAGGTCTAGCTTCTCAGCATATACACAAGCTTTCTGTTCTACAGGCTTGTGTTGTTTCTATTTTGGTCATAGGGGGCTTTGCACTATAACATTGTCAATATTCTAGGATCTTTCAATACCTTAACCTATCCTTGGGAATGAAAGAAAAGCGAGGAGATGATAAAGAGGCAGAAAAGGAAAAAGGAAGAAAACCACTCTGATCTGTCGAACTGTCTGGGTGTCCGGCCAGTTCAAGAAGACATCAGAGGAGGAAGGCCAGAGATGGTCTCTCACTCCTAGCCGAGGCTGGCAGGAGGCAGCTCTGCTGCATGAGGCAGAGGGCTGGTTAACGAGGAAGGTACCCTGTCAGGTGGAGGAAAGGCCCCTCCTCCCCCCTCTCACTGCCATGGGTGGGGAGGTGGGATTCATGGGCCTGACTGTGTCTAGGGTCTCTGTGTCTAGGGTCTCTGTGCAGAGCCTCGCCCCACCCCCCGCCCCCACAGGCAGGCTGCTGGCTCATCAAGGGCAAGGTGATGGAAATGTTACCAGCCGTGGGAACGCGCGGCCTGAGAACTATACTTGCTGCAGGAAGACAAGCTGGTGACACCTATCGCCAAATCCGGGGAGGACTGGGAGGGAAGCAGAGGACTGTGAGTCAGAGCCCCTGGCCAAGCCTGGACACCCTGTGGGTTGTCTCAGCAAAGGTTCTGTGGTGGTGAGCAGAGGAGCTTCTGCTCTTCCCTGGGTCGCAAAAGCAAAAATGTGGAGTCTCAGGGGTATCTGCCCTCACGATGAAAAGCAGGAGCAGGCTTTCTGAGAGGCTCTAAGGTCCTACAGGGCGAGTACACCTGAGTAGAAGGAGAATCCTTCCCACCGGGAAGGAAGCAGATTTTAAAAAGTTTAGGACGCCGGGGGCGCTCAGCGCCTAACAGCAGAGGCTGCAGAGCTGGACTGGACTCTTGCTGGCACGCAGGCGTGGGCAGGTGACGGAGACACGCCGAGCCCCACCGCCCCACCCGGGAGTGCTGACGCCCCATCTGTTCGGTGGAGGTAAGACCGATACCCTCCCCACAGTACTGAAACCAGGGTTTAAATGAGGAGGGCTTAAGCCAAACCTGGTACACAGCAAAGGCGCAATAAACTGGCGGCCTGAGCATTACCACTTTACCTTGGGTGTCGCTGTTCATAGTCCAGACACAGGTCTGACACTTAACTAGCCTCACCTCAGTCAGGTCATCGCATGCATCTGCAATCTCAGTTTCCTTATCCATAAATGGGGATAATTCTAACTTGCCAGGGTTGTTGAGAGGTTTATATATCATGGATGCATGATATATATAGACATCCGGGCGTGTGGCATCTCCCCCTTTGCCGGAGGCCACCCGCCGCTGCAGTGGGATGTGTAGGTGGCCCTCCAGGGGCGGTCAGTGGCACGCTCTGCTCTGAGTCCAGAGTAGGGTCTGCAGCCAGCGGCAGCTTTGTGTCTGCCCTGTCGCCTCTCCCTCTGTGACCTACTCGAAAGCCCCAGACTCCGAAGCACCCAGATGCCTCCCCCACAGACCCCAAAGGTCCCCCAGACACTGATTCAGAGGCAGAGGGCTCCCTCCGCCACAGCCCGTCAGTGGCAGAGGCCAGGTCCCGGCTGCACTCACCAGCTCCATGCACCGCCGGCTGGCCTCAGCCTCCCGCTGCACCAGCTCTTCCATGTCCACCTTCAGCTCCTCCAGGCGCCGCTGGTAATACTGGCTGTTCTCCCGCTGCTGGGACTCAGACATGGCGACCTGTGAGAGCTCCTCGCCCATCTTGACCAGGCTGTCCCGAAGCCGGATCACCAGGACCTGGTGGAGGTGGAGCCGGAGGACAGGGCGTGACACAGGCAGCTTTCTCCTGAATCTCTCTGCCTTTTTATAAAGTAGTCAGGCTGCAATCCTGACTCCTGACACAAGAGTAGAAAACGACAGCCAAGAGGCAGTGCAGCATCTTGAGGAGAACCCTGAGCTCTGCATTCACACCCTGCCCCCACCTCTTCCTGGCTGTGTGACCTTGGGCAGGTGAATGCACCTCTCTGAGCAAACAGGGTGATGGCAGCACCTACACCCAGGAACGCTATCAGGACTGAACATGTGAAGTAGTGCAAGAGGCTTGTTAGCACAGAGCCTGGCACGAAGGCCACGCTGGCTGAGGGCTGGGAAGGATGACCATGTGTGGCAGCCCTCCTTCATCTCCTGGTTGCGGAAGTGAAGTGGTCCTGAGAGTTCAGGTTTCCAGATACGCAAAATGAGTTTTGTTTAGATAATCTCCCTGAGCATCAGCTCTAATACTTTATGGTATTTTCCTTTCTCTGGGGCGAAAAGCCCCAAGAACACAAGGAAACAATAGAGAGAGAATAGCCGTGGGCATCACCAGTACAACAGAAAACCAACCCAGGTCTGCTCTGCAGAATTCATCAGTGGACAACAAGCCTGGGACCAAAAGATTCTGATGGCAAATAGTCCAGCGTTGGCATAAACGGAGCCCACACGGGCATTCCCGACCCCCGCTGACGCTGCCAGCGCCTTGCCTGAGTCTCAGATGGAGACTGAACAATGGTCTAAGAGAAGAGTGTTACTATTCCGTTCTCCTTTGCCTTTTTAGAAAAGATTTATTTATTTATGCATATAGAGCTGGGGTACAGGCCAGAGGTGCAGGGGGTGAGAGGATTCTCCAGAGACAGAGTGGGGAGCAGAATCAGCAGACAGACGGAAATGCACTGCTGAGGGGAGCAGTGGAAGAGACAGAGGAGGTTGCTGTGCCCTGTGGGTCAGTTCCCTGGCCAGGGGCTGAACTCTTGCTGCAGCGGCTGCGATCGCTTCATGGTGCTGCACTTTAACCCACTAGGCCACCAGAGAGGGCCCCTCCTTCACCTTTCAAATGGAGCTTAACAACGGTGTCTAAGGGCGGCAGGGGGAGGCAGGATTAAGAGTAGTTCTCAAATCGGGTGGCTAAGACACCCCATCTCAAGAACTTGGGTTCTATTAAGTTCAAATTACAGTGGCAGAGGCAGAAAGTGCATTTGGAGATAGTATCTGCTATTAAATGGTTTTTCTGTTATAATGTTGTTTTCTTTCCTGCCATCACATAATTATGCTAGAATCGAATAAAAAATAATAGGCAAAACTATGCTATAGCATTATGTCCTTAATCGTTTTAAATATATGGATCAAAATTTCATAATGATCTGCAGGAACAATTATGCCCTAAGGAAGCCCTTGAGCAGCTTTGACAATCACTGAGGGTCAAGGCAAAAAGAGTTTTTTCTGTTCTACATCCACAGCAGTCTCCTTAGATACCAAAGTCCCAGGGCCTCTCTGGTGGCCTAGGGGTTGTCTCAGCCCGGTCACTGTGACAGCCTGGGTTTGATCCTCGGCCAGGGAGCTGACCCACAAGGCACAGCAGACCGCTTCTGTCGCCCGCTGCTCCCCTCAGCAGTGTACTTCATCGATCTGCCTGTTCTGCTCCCCACTCTGTCTCTGGTGAATCCTCCCAGCCTCCCCACCTTGTACCTCTGGTGTATACCTCAGTTCTTGTATGCATACATAAATAAAAATAAATGTCTTTTAAAGAAAAAACAACCATGCCCAACAGGGAACTGGGAGAAAATGTTTCAGAACGAGTAATGCAGACCCCCCCGATGGCCGAGGCTACTGTCATCCTCTAGGTAAACCAGCTGGCCGCACAGCCTCTAGCACCTGGGATCAGGCTGGAGTGAACATCAGGTGTCCCTGACACTGCCTATTTTATCTTGAATAAGTCATTTGACCTCTCTGGGGTCATTTTCTCATACCTTAGGTGAGGCCTACCCAACCCAGCCCACAGAGCTGCAGAAATGTCAAGTAGAGCAACTGATGAACAGATATAGAAGGAGTGAAGTCATCCACCTACTGTGCTAAGTGTGAGCATCATCACTGACCCCTCACTCCAGCCCACCCATGCCTTACTTGTCCTCCCAGCTCTAGTATCACTGTCACCTCCTCCTGGAAATAGTTCTGATTCCCCAGTCCGAAAGAACGCCCACCCTCTAAAGCTCACAGCCCTCTCTATTCATCTTAAGGGTGTCTGTGTGCACATCTTATTCATATTTCCTGCAAATTTCCATGCTTGTGCAAATCAGAATCTCTCCAATACACCTGTCCTCATGCATCTAAGACAGCCTAGCATACAGCAGGTGCAAAACAGATTTCTGCTCAAAATGAGTGTTGGGCACATAAGTGGATAGAGATGAGTGGAACTGGAGATGTGGATAAAGAGACTGGCAGACAGAGGGGTTTAGGACTGAAGAAAGAATGAAGAGAGAAAGGAAGAGGGCGGAATGCAGGGGATGATGGCTGGCTGGGTGATGGTGCAAGGGGACAGAGAGTAATAGATGGTGGGTGGGTTGCATGGATGGCACAATGGGATGGGAGAAAGGAAAAGGTGAGGGGGGAGGGAAAGAGGGAGCGTACGTGGGAGACGGGTGAGACTATACACCCAGACAAGGCGCATGCACGGGCAGGCAGACGGATGCTGCGTGGATGGACACAGAAGCTCTCGTCACTGTAGGTGAAGCAATATTTACATTTGAGTACCTCGAATCTCTTTATCTGCACTTTCTGGAACTCTGTCTTGTTCTCCAGGTCACAGATGATGGCCTCCTGCCGGCTGACGATGGCTCGATCCACAGTGGACTGTTCCAGGTACTCGATGCGCATCTGGGCCACTTGGAGCTGGGGACAAAGCAAGAGTCCCACTGGCCACCTGCTGGCGCTGGATCCCAGCACCGAAGCAGATGCAGAACCCAGCCCCGGCCCAGGTGCATGCACACAGCCTCCTTCTCAGGGGCTACATGCCGCAGCACAGGCAAGAACTGCCAGGTTCCCAGCTGAAAGCCTCACCCTGGCCCCCGCCCTGGGCCTCAAGGGCTGGGTGGCAAGGTTTCCTGTGGCTTCAACATCCAACCCGGGGCTTTCAACCAGGGAGCCTTTTCCCTCCACCGCCTGCTCTGGTAAAGGAGTCAGTCTGGGGGCGGCAGGCGCCAGCCTCAAAGGGCACAACCCAGGGTGGGTCTAGGAGCCAGACATTCATATCAGGCTTCCAACCCAGCTTTACCACTTTCAGCTGGACAAGCTGGGCTAATGGATCCCCTTCCTTGACTCTCATTTCAGTTTATTGTGTGAGGATTGACGGGGATCAGAGCCCGATAAGTAATATCAGCCACCCAGGAAGTGGCCCCTGTGGGATGACTTTGTCAGGTGCCCTGTTACTCAGTGTCTACGGGCATGTGCTGGGCCTGTCACTGATGGTCACCCTAAGTCAGCATGTGCCTTTGTTCTAGCAGGGCTTTGAAAGTTTCATGGAGAACAGCAACCTACTAGAAAGCGAGGAAAATTCGAGGGTGTACATGCTTCCAAGGAAGATTTCACAAAGGCTGATGATCGCCTTGTACGGTCACCCCCTTTTCCTCAGAGCCATTTCTCAAAGGGCAGCCATTTCTCAAGCCCAGCATCGAATGGCTGAGGAGCCTGAGAACAGGTGCAGGAAAGAGTGAGCGAGCGTGTGTCCGTCTGCTTGTCTGCGGGGCAGCCTTGCCTCATCCGTAGCTGCTTCACAGCTCAGGGTTCAGCTGTGAAGCCCCAGAGGGAAGGCTCCCCCAGTCACCCACAATTTGGCAGCTCTGAGCACCTACTTGTTCTTGAAGCTTGTGCTTCTCCTTCTTGGCTTCCTCCAGCTGCAGCTGCAGTTCTTGGATCTGCCCAATGTCCGTGGCAGACTGGAAGACAGAACGTGCCCCCCTGAGACCACAGGCTTTGCTGGGAAGCCACTGCTGGAAACCCCTCCTTCCTGCACCCACAGATGTCCGTGTCTCTCAGAGCCTCTGTGACAAAGGCGGCTCTGAAACACTGCCTCTCACCAACTCCCCAATGGCCTCCGAGGCAGTCCCGCTAGATAAGCGAGTAGCTCTGGCCAACTGTCTAGCACCTCACTATACGCCCTTATACGCCCTTACAGCCCAGCCAGAAATGCCTGGCCAAGGCACCGGGACCACATTTGAAGGAGGAAAGCTATTCTGAGTGGAGGGTAGCTGGGATTTCTAGTTCTAGAAACAGGCCATGGCAGGTCACACCACATCTCTGTTCCTCACTAACCCAGCTGTAAGTGGACTGAGATGGTCTCTGCTTAGCTCCTCTCCACAGGGTTTGTTCAGAAATAAGATGAGACAATGGAGAGTAAAGATCCTTGAAAAAAAAAAGTAGTTCCAAACTGCCAAGTGTGATTATCACCGAAGAGGAGGAGCCCAGAGGCGGGAGGGGACCTCACCTTCAGTGCTGCGCAGGTGTTCATTACTTAAGTGGTTCATCATGGATCTATGGATATACTTCTTGTGTAGTCAAACAAATAAAGAAAATCCCATTTTGAATACAAATAAGTATGCTCACAAGTGCAGAAATTGGCACAGGATATTTTGTGTGGTGCCTCATCTAATGTTGATGATATGACTGATTATTTTTGTTACTATTAGACCTTGTGGAAGAGACATTTCCTCAGATGACACTTCTGTGGGATGCACTTGAAGCCCAGCGGGCGTTTCAGTGCGGCTCTCCTGGGGGGAGGGTGTGCACGGAAGACACTCCCTGCTGTCCAAGGGAGCAGGGCTCCCAGCCCACCATCACACACCTCCTGGCATCCTCTTGCGTTCCTTGGCTCCACCCTAAACTGCCCCCTGTCCTGCCCTGCATCCCTCTCTCCTCCCCGTCTCTACTCCATCTCCCCAGCACAAGCTGCCATTTCTCTCCCCAGCACAGATTTCGTTGCTCAGCATTATTCCCTGGACACCTCTCCACACCAGGTGCTCTTCTAGGCTCTGGGGTTCAGCATCGGATGGACTAGACAGGAGACCCTGTCATCACAGAGCTGACGGTAGCGAGGGAGGCCGGCGCCTGCCCCCTTCCTGCGCTGTATGATTTCTGCCACACATGAAATACACCAAACTGGTCACAGCTTATGGGGCAACCCCTCTGCACTGCAGACTTCACCGAGCTCGCCTCATATTCCACTCCCCTCTCCGGCCTCTCAAATGCACTCACAGGTGCTCTGTAGCACCTGTAGTAGCATGTTCGTGGTAGCTCCCCTTAATCCTGGGCAAACAAAAACTGGCGCAAAGATGCTAACAGGAAACTCCTGTGTTTGCAGCCCCTTCTGGAACATGCCCCCAACCCACCACTCGCCTCCAACTACTAACCCCTCTCCTCCATCCACAGGCCTTCTCAGGGAGGCCTGCCTGCCTGCCCTCCCACCTGAGTCAGGAGTCTTAGCTCAGATTTAAGTTTCCTCGCTGCTCTGGGCGCCAATCCGGCTCACTAAACTATAAGCTATGTGAAAGCAGGAATGGGATGAGCTTTGTCATCAGTGCACAGTCCTTGGTATTTCACACAGTAGCTAACACACAGTGGGTGTACAGGAAATACTGACTAAATTAATAGGTATCTGGAGAGGTGGTGTGGATGAGCGATGGAGGGATGACAGGTGGGTGAGGGGGTAAGTGGGTAGGAGGAGGAAGAGATGGGTGGGTGGACCGACAAACGACGCACAGGGGAATGGGTGGGTTGAAGGGCAGATGTTCGGTGGATGGTTAAGTATTTTGCTAGCTAGGCATAGGGTGGGCAGCTGGATGAATAAATAAAATCCTTCCTGGCAGAGCTGTCCTCCAGAGATGCACAGACCATCTAAAAGTGGCGGTCTCTTCTTCAGGGCCACACAAATTCTCACAGTCCCACTTACCTTTGTGGCATTTAAGCCCCTCCCCACCCCCTTCCAAGTCTAACGAGCAGGGAAGGCTCAACCACATTGCCGCCTCAGTATCTCTGTCACCCAACCCAAGGCCACCAAGCTTTGTTCCACGTAAGGCTGGTACCTGAGCGATGAGGTCCTTGTGCTTCTGCATGAGGTCGTTCAGGTCATCCTGGTCCTCATCAATGCGCTTCAGAAGGTCGGCGCGCTCAAACTGCAGCCGGTGCAGCTGCTCGTCCACCTGTGGGAGGCGGGACAGTGGCGGGTGAGGTAGGCGGGGTGGCTGAGGGGAGACAGCAGAGGGCTGATGAAGATCACGGGGGGCTTTTCCCGGAAGTAGAGTGAACATCTACCGATAAGGGTGGCCAGGTGTAGGCCAATGCACGGGTGAGATGACAGCTCTGTGTGCGTGTGTGTGTCTGTGTGGAGTATGACAGTAGCACATTTGTGGTAGCTCCCCTTAATCTTGTGCAAATAAAACCTGGAGCAAAGAGGCTAACAGGAAACTTAAGACAAATTTTGCCTATAAATTTCTAGCTACACTTAACCTTGAGGGCTTTAAAAATGTAAGCCAACCTTTTACAGACAAGGGACTTCACTTTGACCAACATAATGGATTCCTAACCTAGGTTCATTTGTCGCCATTCAGGGCTGAGCACACAGCAGGCCCTAGTAGACGGCTGGGCTCGTGACAGCAGTGAACTTACGTGGACACATGAGCGATGCTTTAGCTACACTTAGGAGATTAGCTATGGAGTCATCCAGTAATAATGGCCAAGTTCTTTTTTATAAGAGTGGGCGCACAGTAGGACTGCAAAAGACGTCTATGAACCACTTACAATAGTGAGCGTGCTCTGGATGCAGGAGAGAAAACTGTATACTCACTTAGGGTGCTGAGCGAACAATAGGTTCCTATGATATGCCACCCCATAGTATTGAGCACCCAAAGGTCCACAAAAGGTGTCTTTGTGAACTTCTGCAGAAGTGAACACATAAGGAGTTTACCCTCATTTATGCCCTTATAACTCTTACTGTGCTCAGCTCACAGCAGGATGCCTGCACTCTCAGCCTTTTGAGCACCTAGGTCACCACTGGATGTGTGTATCTCCCAGCTGGCATGCAGTGGGTCCCCATTAACTGCTACTGTCCCTCTTATAGTGCTTAGTGCACAGCAGGCCCACACTGTATCAGCAGGCTGTGCTGGCTGGGTCTCCATGGCACCACGAAGGGACAAGTACCAGGCTTTTGCTCCGGGTCATGTTCTCCAGCTCACTGTGCATGTTCTCCAGGTCTGCGGTCAGAGCCTTCTGGGTCTTCAGTGCATCCTCACACTTGGCTTCACTCAGCTCCAGCTGGACCAAGGAGGAATTTGAGAACAGAAGAGGGGGAGGGGAGGGGAGGACTCAAGAGACTGCCCTCAAATGGACTTCCCCACCTGCCCAGCTCCTTGGGAGCAACACAACTTACAGGCGACCCACACCTTAGCCCACAACTGGGGCAAGCAAATTATCTGTGCGTCTGAGGCCCATTCAACATCAGACAAGCACCACCCCGTCCACCCCGTGAATACGGCTAGGCCACACCACCCCAGCGTCAGGAGCTGGTCCCCACTAACTGCTAATGCCCACTCAGCACCAGGCACAGGGCATGCAGGAACAGTAAGCCTGGCCTGCCCTTTGGGATTGCTCTGCAGAGGTAGGGGCTGGCGGCTTCTCTGAGGACACAGGAAAGAGAAGCTCTCGGGGCTTCTGGGATCTCAGGAGGAGTCAGAGGCTGCTCCGGGAAGAGGTATTCAAGTCCAGTGGGCCTTGCTGAGAAGGCCTCTCTTAAGCAGGTTTCAGAGTTGTGAACCGTTTAAATGCTATGCGAAGTATTCTGTATCTGAGAAATTTCTTGGGCTCAGACTTTCCCTAGATCTGTGAAGGTTAAGAGGTAGCAACATAAATGTTTCTCCTTCTCATCTTTCTGCCTGCCCACACACAGCAGGTCTCTTCTTAACAAAGTGAGGCCATGAAGATAGAAGGAATCACCTACATGGCCCCATGGAGAAACCATATTCTTGTACAAACCCTAAGTCCGTTCTGAAATTGGCAGTTTCCCCTTGACTTCCAAACCCTACAAACTCTTAGTAGAAAGAACCCTTAGTAATAACCTAAGGAAAACACTTGGGGCTTACAGAAGGGTGGTGCCTGACCTGAAGTCCCATGGATACAGGAGCAAAGACAGCCCCTGGTATTGTCCAGATAAGCTCACTTTCTCAACTGCTAGGCCACTGCTCCTCCAAAGCAGTCAACGATACTGAGGTCAGGGCCAACAGAAGGATAAAGAAAAAGCAGGCCAGAGTCCTGCTTAAATGACTCACAGTCTCTGTGGCCTGTGGCCACCAGTAAGTTCGGTGCCCCCTTGATCTTTAAAAGAAAAACTGGTCCTCTCTGGTGGCACAAGGGATTAAGTCACAGCTAAGTCACAGCTGATACGAAGCTATCAGCAGCCACTGCAGCACAAGTTCGATCCCCAGCCAGGGAGCTGATCCTCATGGCCCAGCAGACCTCTCCTGTTTTACCCACTGCCCTCCTCAGCAGTGTATTTCAGCAGATCTGCCTGTTCTGCTCCCCACTGTCTCTGGGGAATCCTCTCACCCCAACACCACTGGCCTATACTTAAGTTCTTGTGTGCATAACTAAATAAATCTTTAAACAAACAAACAGACAAAATGCTAAACAATGGGTCCAAGGTGGAGGCTTCCCTGATGATAGCAGGCCAAGCTGGTGGGGGAAGGGGGGGGGCAGGGACCGGGTTTGTGGGTACAGTCCACCTGGGGTTATTTCCTTGCCAACTGGGCCAGAGACACCTTCCTTAGACTGACCCATCTGCTCAGCCCAGATGTTAGAGTAATGATCACATCAGGGCGAGTGGAGGGACATTCATTTGAAGATCTCCTGTCTCGCGCTAAAGGTTCTATCTAGCCTGTGGGTTTTCCCTCTGCCCTCAAGCCGGACCTTAGAGGTGTGGTTGTCACTATGCCCACTGTACAGTGAGGACATCAAGGCTCCCGCCTGCTCCTCAGGCCCCACCCCTGATGGTAACCACAACCCACCCCTCCCTTTTTTGAAAACTGTGGGGACAGCGCGGGACCTGGAGCGGAGGCCATTTCCTCAGTGATTGGGAGGGATTGAGATGTGCTGAGAAAAATGATGTGGCACACTGGGGCAGGTAATTAGCATTATTGGCGCAGAAGTGGCAGAGGAAATAACAGTTGCCCGCAGGTGAATCCAGGGCCTCTGAAGAGGTAGGGAGGTGGGCAGGAGCGCCCCCTGCAGGCAGGGGAGGCAGAGTCAGCCCGGACTCATGCAGGGTGGCACTAGGAGAAGCGTGAACGCGCCGGGCAGATCCAAGGCCTAAGGTAAGCTCCACAGGTAGCAAAGCGGACAGGCCTGTGCAGAATTCAGAGGGAGACTCCCCTGGGCTGGAGGCAAGAACCAGGGCAAAGGGCCTGAGGGGGAAAGGAGCTCTGTGGCACAGAGCCTGGGTGGTGGCACAGAGCCTGGGTGGGGTGATGTGGAGGGACTGAACGGTCACGTGTGAGGGTCTGGGAGCCAGCAGGCCACATCTGGGCTCATTTCAGCCTGCAGGAAGCCCACTGAGGGTTTCTAAGGAGAAGGCTGGTGGCCTCCCTTTGGCTGCTGTGTGGAGGCTTCTGTGGCCAAGTCTGGAAACAGGGTAGACAGCGAGGCCGGGGCTGCGTCTTCCAGGAAGGTGCGATGATGGCGCTTTGACCAGAGAGGAGGGAAGGGGAGAGAAAGGGCCGGATCTGCAGGGCAGTGTGCAGAGAACAAAAGGCCTGGGCAGGCGGGAGCAGATGGGCCATCATCTCATGGGAGATGATGTCAGATAACTAATAGCGGAAGGAGGCGTCACACGGGCCCCCGCGCCGGGCCCAGTGGCTTGGCCCAGGGCCAGGAGGCCAGCCAGGGCCCCTGTAACTCAGCGGCCAGCACCAACATGACTGGCACCAGAGCCCGTCCGCAGGGGTCCTCCTTTCCCAGGGTCTGTATCAGCGGGAGGCTGCTGGCCTGCAGAGCCCCAGGGAAAGAAGGCTCTATTTTTATCCCCATTTTACAGATGGTATATCGTGCATGACCCAGAAGTGCTCCTTCCTGTCCCCAACCTCCCGGGGCAAGCAGAGAAAGGGACAAGTTATCTCCAGGCAGAGATGAACAGAGCAGACGCAGTCGACAGCAACTGCCGCCGGCACCATTCTCAGCCAGCGGGGTTAGAGGAGGGGTTACTGTGGCCCTGATGGTTTGGGCACATGAGGCCCCACCTTCTACTGTTGCTTGGGCACCATCTCCAGTGCCCTGGGTTGCTTCTGCCTGGCTTCATCACAGTGCCACCCAGCTCCAGAGAAGAGGGCTTCTGTGAGGACAATAATAAGTGAAGAAGCTGAGGCTCTCGCAGGGGCATGGCGTGCCTACGTCCCACAGCTGGTCTGTGCATAAGCCAGCTGGCCCAGCTACAGAACCCACGCGCTGACCCACAGCCCCTCAGGGAAGGGCTTAAAGGGATTCTAGTTCAGTTGCAGGCAGTTATCTCAAGAACTTGGAGCGATAGTGGAAGCCATTCGGGGGGCTGCAGAGTAAGGAGCAAAAAAATCAGAAGGACTGACAGAACTCAGTTCAACTAAAGGTAGAGACACCGATATATCTTCTAGAACCCATCCCAAGGAGAAGAAATTTACTTGTACTGGCACAAGCTAAGTGCCAGATTCGTCATGCACAGGGTTCAGAGCTTGGGCACTGAAATCAGACTGTCCCAGCAAGTCACTAACAATGCAGTGCACCTCAGTTTCCTCATCTGTATAATGGGTCTGTGCAAGATGAATGAGTGAAAACCCGACAGTCCCGAACACAGAGCCCAGTGCTGAGGAAATGCCAAGACACTGACAGCTGTGGTTATTGCTCTTGGTTCCTTTGGTTCTCTCACAGCCTGAGAAGTGGGGGCCTGGAACCCACTTAAGAGGTGAGTCAAATAAAGCAGAGGCTAAACGCACTGTCGAGGTCACGGAGCCAGGATGCCACATGGCTACAGCCCTGACAGTCTGAGGAGGAATGTTTGACTTCTGGCAGGCTGGCACAAGTGGAGGGAGGTGCTGACCCTGGAGGGGCCCAGATCAAGCAGACCTAGATTTTCATAGGATTTGGAGGCGGGGGGATTAAGACCAGCAATTCTCCAGCCCAAAGCCTCCACCGGGCAGACTCCAGGCTGCTGCTGACAAGCCATCTGAATGCTGAGCTTTAAAGTTCTCAATTTATTACCCTTTGGGGAGGGAGAAGAAATACAGGGCCATCACAGGCTGATTTTCCATTATGGATGACCTGGTGTAAGAATAACTCACTGTGCATTTTTTCCATATTGGGGCGGCTTGAATGACGTTTTTATGAAGTCGGGTGGCAAGTCATGTTAGGGCCGACATCAGACCCTTCAGTGGTGTGACACTGCCCGCCACTGCTTTGAAAATGTCTGCCTGGGAAGAGCTCCAGGCAGATAGGCAGAGAGTGGGGGGCTGCGGGCGGGGTGGGGGAGGTCGGGGCAGTGGGTGACAAGTGACGGCTCGGGAAGGTTACTGAGTCTGTTCCCCAGCCCAGCAGCTAATGTGGCAATGAGGATCTGGAGGGGACAGCTGTCATCTCACACCTTTCAGCTCCAACTCATCACCACACCCCCATGGAGCAACCATTAGGCTTCGTGTGGGAACATCACAACACATGTGGTGTGGTTGAGGGTGAGATAAAGCCCCTCAGGATTTCCACATCCAGGACGAGGATGGGGCTAGACCCATAACAAGCTTCCAACAAGAAAACAGCTTTGACTTTTGTATAATTTTCTTTCTCTTCCAAATCTTGCTTCTTGTGAAATTAATACAAAAATGTCACTGGTATGGTACCAAGCAACCAAAGCCCTTTAGAGAGTCAGGAAATTCACCTCCCCATGAACCTGTTCAGTCATTCCATTGCTCACTAAATAAATACAGCACCCTTTCCCAGAATCTGCTCCAACTCTGAAAGAGACACTGAAGAGTGTCATTTCCTTCTTAGACCTCGAGTGAGGACCCCATCAAATGGACATGTGTCCATTACAGTTCACCCTGCCGCTACAGGTGAGAATGTGCTTCCAGAACTTGCTCATAAAGTCAGGGTCTCTAAGCTTAGGTCTGGGGCTATGTGGCGAGACCCTGACTCTTGGATGATAGTGAGAGGGCCCTGGAGGTCCCCGTAGCCTGGAGCTCACAGGTGCAAGATGACATGCGCACCATCAAGAATGAAAAGCAGCACATGCCCAGCACACAGATTAG